AAGACTAGACCTCACGAAAATTGAGGTCAACAACACTATTAGTTCTACGCAAGTGCACGTATCCCTTCAAGCAATATAGGCCTTTCTTTAAAAACTCCAGTGTCAATCCCAAGAAAAAGAGAGGTAAGAAATCTCTTAGGTTAATTCTAGTCTACTACTATAAGCAATTAGTTCGGAAGGTTGACTAAAGTGGTTTTAAAGTATGCTAACAAAAATTAGTTTACTAAATTAATTTCTAAACTTTAAAGTTAAATTTACTAAAGACTAAACAAAGTTTTGTGACGAAGAATTCAAATTTAAGAAAGTATCATTCCCACTACAATGAATTTTTTGTTAATGATAGAGATAAATGGTTTGAATTTGTAATGTTTTAAATAGGAGCAATTTTAATTATCTACCCTCGGTCAAGTGTTATAGAGAATCGTTGGCTAATCTTATGTTTAGTATCTAAATCCATGGTTACACTGGGAGGATACTAGCTCTCTTGGCTCTCACTCCACAGCTCCCACTTCACTTCCCCTGAAGACTAACTCTCGCTTTAATTCTTAAACACCAATTCTTAAACACCAAGACCAATCTGGGGATTTTAATTCCAGAGCTCCCACTTCACTTCCCCTGAAGGCTCTCTCGCTTCAGTTCTTAAACACTAAGACCAATCTGGGGATTTTTGGAGATTTTAATCTGCTACCCTAAAATCTCTAATTCTACACCCAACAACGTATATTTCTCTATTTATTTGCACACAATTCTATGAATGAAACACTCCTTCATGGAAATGAATGTGATTCTCACTTTGTATTGAAACTCATAATTCATTTTCCAGATAGTATGTTTCACAACAGATGTTAACATTTCAATTGAACAAATCGAAAAGTAAATTAAGAACGAAATGAAAAAATCATCACAATTATTTAACATTTAAATGACACATCCAAATTATCTCTCAATTTCACCATATCTCATTGCAGGGAGAAAGACAAAGAAGTCTACTCAAAATTCATGAGGAAGATACGACAAAACACGTATTATATATATAAACAAGTTTTCAGAACAAAGAAATGAAAAAAACACAACTTATCTTAAACTCATCTTCAAGCAAATCCCTTGAAGCACTTTCTCTCTTTACAATCAAAACTGAATTCTCTCTTAGAAATGTAATAAAGAAGAAACCTCTCACATTCCCTCTCCTCTTACAATTCTTCAAAAAAATCATCTCCACAAACAAGACTTTACTCTACACTTACACACATACACGCACACATACGCGCTCTTTTAAAGAGGCACAAAATCCTTCTTTTTTCCCAAGAGCTTCACTTCAAGGGACACATCTCTTCACTCCTAGAGTCTAGATTCATTGAATCACTACAAGAGACACATTTCTTCATTTAAAAGCCACTCATTAACTCCAAAAGACACATCCATTCATTTAAGAGTCTTTCCAAGTGTCTAAATGCATTGAATCACTTCATGGAGTGTTTGAATCAGTTGAGAGCCTTCTAGAACAACAAAAGCCGCCAAAAAACCGTCCATAATCGTCTTGGGCGCCATCGGCGCCGGTTTGGGTGCCTTCGGCGCCATTTTTCATCGCTTCTCTGGACTTCGTTTCAACTTCACTGTTTCGCTCCGTTTGACTTCGTTTCAGCTCTGTTTCGCCTCGTTTCAGTTGTGTTTCGTTCCTAACAGATAGACCTACAAAATAAGCATGAAAAAAAATTTTCTTTAAAGTTTAATTTCATTCAAAAACATGTGAGGAGAAGTGAGAAGTAGATTAAGCATAGAAAAACATTGAAATGTGTCGGGCTAGAATTTTTTTTCTTGCTCATTTTAGTTCCAAATTACACCGTTTTTGCTTCTTTTTCACCAAAGTTCATTTCTTATACCTGAAGCCAAAAACATGCAAAATATCTTCCTTTAAAATGTAATATCACCAAAAATGAGTATAAAATATATGTCTAAAAATGCATATATTTTTGGTGCATCAGATACAAAGGAAAAAAACATTTAGCGGGATAAGGTTTGTTGTTGTTCTTCTTATTCTTATAATAAGCACTTAATTAAAAAATATCACTGTTAGTTTTAAGTAATCCTATTGTTATATCATATCATCTAATTATTCTTAAAGAGATATTTTTATTTTATTACACTTCTTGATTAATATTTATAATGTTTTACATCGAGCATAAGAAATGAGTAGTAATGCGGTTAGAGAGTAGTGCATATCGATTTAACAGGGAAAGTGTAATAATTATTTCAGCAGAAAATCTATAATTTATGAATCAAGTGAACTTAGCTTGGCGAGTTCACAAAGATGGTTTTTAAGTCCAAATCCTAATTAACAGAAATAGATCTCAAAGTAGTAGAGACAAGAAGCAAGACGAAAAAAATTACGAGAGCTCTTCAAGATAGATGAGGCTCATGCATCTATGATTCGGGGAATCGTGGTGATCGTGGCTTCCAAAATGTTTTCCCATGTGATTGTTGTCAATCGATGATATAGTACTCATGCCTATGTCTAGATCAAAAGTAGCCTAGAATCCATGAATTTGAGGCTTCCTCAATCCCCATGGCATTCTGCTAAACTGATACAAACCACTGGAATAGCACCCTCTTGGAATAAATGAAGTTTGCTAAACTGATTGCAAAATTCTACTAAACTGAATAAATGGAATGGCATTCTGCTAAACTGATTGCAAAATTCTACTGGAATATGTCCATCCTCTTGGAATTTTGCGGTTAACCATTTGTTTCCACTACGCAACGATTAGAGGTCATAGTTTCACAAAACGTTTTAACATCCTGGTTGACCAGACTAGGAATAAATGAAGTTCGGAGGTTAACCAACAACGTAAGCCGTGAAAGCATGAGAAAATGAAATCAAAAACACATCTCAGAAAATCAAGATAAAATCACTAGCCCTACATCATATAGACATGAAGAAAGGGCTATCAACACATTGTAGAGAAAGCCACAGGCATAGAATCCATCCAGATTTTAATTGTAAGAAAATAACAAAAGCAAGAACTTACAATAAAACTTGCTTTCTCTATAGGAATAGCACCCTCTCCTCTCATACAATTGAACTCTCCAAAGCTTCTCAAGAAATAAAAGAGAAATAATGTCTTGAGGTTTCAATCCAAAGGAATAAGAGAAACCCAAGAGGAATCCCTTTTCTAACCAAAACCCTACCCTTCTTACAGCCTCCAGCCGCCAAAAGGTGCCTAAGATTTGCCTTGTGAATTAATTTATAGGCAAAGCTCGGCAAAGGCAAGTACTTTCTTGCCACAATTGATATTGCAAATTGGCGCAGACGCTATTGCTTCAGCGATATTCTCACCCGGTATCGAGAATACTCATTATGGGATAAGCTTAACACCAAAAGATGGCTCTGACGAACTTCTGGTCATCAAAGCTCGACTCCTTCCTCTTTCCTTTGATTTTCCAAATGAAACATGAAAGTGTTTAACAATGCACGGTTAGAATCCGCCCAAACACGAAACACGTACCTCACAAAAGCTAGGGATCGCAAATCCAAAGTGTAATAACATTGGCGGCAGCTTGCCTTGGAGCAATAGGTAAAGGCAAAGGAGCAAAAATGAAAAAAAAGAAGGTTGAGTAGAATCTTTTAGACTAGTGAAATTAAAATAAAAAAAAAACATAAATACGCTCAAAATTCCTTTATTCCTAAAGCTCATATACCATGAAGAAAAGAGAAAATATTTGAATTTGGTACGCAATTCATCAGTGCTCTAATTGCTCTATTTATATAGCAAGATTTTAAGTTGCTCTTAGTAGCTTTTACATAAAAAACTATTAATAATATTAAAAGCAAGGAAGATATTATACGGTAGAGAGATTTTTGCACGTTAAGAGGCCCGTGAATTGCCAACTTGTCCACAAAAATGGATCGACAGTTATGAAATTCAACAAATTGCCATGATGGCCTGCAAAACCATCAACATATAAGTACCAATAAAGTTCAAGGTCACTGAATATAGCAAACAAACTGCTATTTAAGGCCATAATTCTTATCTTTTTTTTCTCCAAACTTCTTTCTTAATTTATTCCCTTGTGGCCTCTACTATGACCAATATTGAAAATGACATCAACCTTACAACATTTCTTTTTGTTATCATAAATGATAAAAATACAAATTAGGTTATTTGAATGTTCACATTCCACGCACAACCAATTTTCGGAGAAACACTTGATAGAAGAAGTGAGACACTTACTCATTTTGAAGCAATACGGGAGAATCTGTCCCATCCCATACAAGAACTATCCAGTCATTAGTAGAAGTTTTATACACGTCAAGAACCTTCACACAACAGCAATAAGATTATATTCCGCTTCATTTTAGAGATGGAATAAAATATAAAGGAAAAGTTAAGAGGTTGTATATTACCTTGCATACTATGTCCAATTGTTTATCCGATTCAATGTTACACAACAATAATGTTTTGAACACTGGAAAAATGATCAAAGTTGTTACTAGTTAAGACTAACAAATCAAGCATTACAACTGATTCAAGAAAAGAAAAAAAGAATTTTATTTTATAACGAAGCATTAAAACTGAATCAAGAAAAGAGAAAATGAACTTTATTTTATAATGATGTACGGCTAGAAATCGTATTTCAGATGTTCACAGAAACCAATTACGTTAGACATAGTAGAAGTTTACAGACATGAGGTTTTTTTGGGAAAGAGCAGTAGTATATCAGGCCAATATCATTTGCCCATTAGAAAGTTCCTCGTAAACATTTGTAAGGATTGGCTGGTTATGGGGTTAAAGGCCTGAAATCAATGAATTAAGGATCTCCCTTTTCAATAGAGATGCGCGATGAAACTCCATGCTTTCCACGTTAGGGCCTGTTAAATGTGGTGTGCCCTAAAAACTAATTTGCCTCACAACGTGATATATGGTACAACAAGTATGCACCAATGCTCATAATGCTCAGGAGATGTAACGTTCAATCAACATAAGCCCTTAACGTCCACAAAGATAAAAAGAACATAATAGAATCCATGAATCAGTGCCTTTGCAACAAAAAATCACCTTCTTGTTGATGTCTCAAAGACAATGCCCTCAACTGCAGCACTAGTTTTTCATCAGCATTGGAAGCCAAAAACCTTCTAGTCAACGACGTTTGGTAGGGAGTCAAGTCTCCGCCAGCTTTCCCGTCAAACAATGCGAATGAGGAAATTCTTCTTTTAAAAGTACAAAAGAAATCTCCCCCATACACGTTCAACTGGAAAGAAATGGTTTAAAAAACACAGTAAAGTTGTCAGGTAACAGAACACAACCAATGTCAGCATAAAAATGGTTGGTCGACAGCTGCAGAAAACTCCATCATAAACATAGGGAAGGTTAAGCCAGCTAAATGAGGAACTCCACTAAGCCCCTACTCATTTGAATAAGGGAATTGAGTATGAAGTAATCACCAAATATTTAACCTGGCAGTGCAAAGAAGAAAACTAAATAAAAAAATATATATAAAATGCATATACATAGGAAGAACATAAAGTGAACAATGACACTAGCATTATAAAGCTTGTGTTCAATTTTTTGTTCCAGTATTTTCATTAAAAACATGCCTATGATGCTAATCGAATTCAATAGAACAGTTCAATAATTTGATCATACTACTACGTTTGGTTAACCGCTATAAATTGCTTCCATTAGCCCTTGACTCTCTTAATTAGATTTCTTTCCAATTCAAAACTTCAGCACATAACCAATGATTTGGAAATTCATTTTTTGTTGTCGAGATTACAGCATTTTGTTACAGAGGTGCCAATTGACAGTTTCCATCTTTGTGGAACCAAGTTTGGACACTGTATCGGAAACGAGGTTCAACCGACAAGAACTGGATGGTAATTTTATTTCAAAGGTTGTCTCCCTATTTAGCATTGTTTTGTTTCCAGTGCTCCCTTCTGCAGTTATTTTGTTTCCCAATATTTAGTTGTGTTTGACTGCATCTATGTACAAACTTACCTTCTGCGCATACTGTAGCAACGCAAGGCTGATTCATTTCCTTCATTTTTCCCAACAATAAATTGTAGCAGGAAAAAAACAACACTTGCTGGGAAATTGTTGAAACTAGACCTTTAAAATTAAAAATTATTGTTTTGCTAAATGTAATGATAAAACTGCTTGTTCTTGTTAGAGGCCAAGTGTAATAAATCAGCTAATAGTATCAGGCTAAAATTTGGAGTACTTTGAGATTTTATTTATTTTAGGCATTTCTTGGGTTAAAAATAGGACCCCAAAGGCTCGAACACAGATATTGAATGGTCGAATAAATTTTTGCTTCATCTCAGTTCTAGTATGCGTTATTGGCTATGATTTCTTCAAGCATTGTGTGAGTTTTAAAGATAACTTCTGTGGATTTTTCTCCTTATACTAACATTAAAGTAAGATCTAATTAGTGAACTCTATCCAGGTTCTTTCTACTAAATTGTTTAATGATTGGTTTCTTTCTTGATTTGATTTTATCAATTTTGATAGCTATGATTTTCCTTTTGTAGGGTGAATCTTAATTGCGACAGAAAATTATATTCGCTCTCATATCTCCAGTTGAAATTCAATTTTTTTGAGAACTTTTACATTGTTGTTAAGGATAAATGAAGTGAGATTTATGTTTTCCATTAAATGATTAAAATCTTTGCTTAAAATAATAGTTGGAAACTATGAATAATATTTTTTTGTGTATTTTACAGCTAGTCTCAATCTACGATTGCCTTAGTAAACTCTCGATCCTAAGATATCCTACAACAAATTTTCATCTGAGTCAGTTCTTGTCAAAATGAGTAGAAACGTAGCTAATCATCAAAGCCACTTAACAGGTCACCATAGAGATGAGATTTTAATGGGCTGTATACCAATTAAAAGGATTGCTAACCAAACAAGTCCTGCTAAGCACTATAATAAATAAAGTTAATAACTAATACTTTGGAACCTCATTAACGAGAACCCATTCATAATAACATTACAGAAAATGAAAACATGGAAAAATAACCAAGGTAGATGTCATAAGGGTTATGTTTATGAACATTATCACAATCATCGGTTACAACCTTTTAGAATTGATAAAGACGCTACTAGGAAAGTTAAATTGAGGTGTCTGCTTTGATAGGGAATATATCCTAACGCTTCTTATAACATAGTATATATGAATAATTTTTTCAATTGGAAAAGGATATCTAGTGAGCAACAAGGATTATGAAAATAAAGCTAATCGGTCAAGTTAAAATGTATTGGATGAGCATGGAAAGACAAAATAAAATATCATGACTAGAAACTACTGCTACTTGGGCTAAAATAAATATGTCAACAGATTAATGAATTTAACTCAAAAAAATAAAGAACAATGACTGAAATTGAACTTATCAATAAGTATGAAGAATTTTTATTGCATTATAAATTAAGAGCCCATTTGGGGCCGATTATTGGGCGCTGTGCGGTACCAAACCGCGCCGCGCTCCTTTTTTTTTCGTTTGTTTACAGCATTTTTGGGCTGCGGTGGGAGAAAATCGTGAAATGTCAGCCGCGGGTTCTACCCTGCGGCACACGTTCCCTATCAGTTGCGCCCGCACTCTTTATTGGCATTACGAACCGCGGTTAATCTGTTTCGTCTTGTATAAACCCGAAGTTCCTGAGGAGTGGGTTGTGTAGACTGAGGAGGTTGAATAGGAGAAGGTGTGGGTTGTGTAGACTGAGAAGGTTGAATAGGAGGTCTGACAGTCGGTGAGGGACCCGTGTCAGTTGGTAAAGGAACACAGGGCTGTTGTTCACTCTCCCCCTGAATGACAAACCCTTGGTAGTATAATTGATGCTCAAAAAAGGTGACATCCATAAAATTGTGGACCTTTTTAGTTGAAAGATAATAACACTTGTAGCCTTTCTTGTTGGTCGAATACCCTATGAATATGTATTTGACAGATTTGGGGCCTAAATGTGCGAGTGCGTCTGGAACGTCGATTTTAGCTAAGAAAGACACTCATATTGATATGGTTTGCGACCGCGCCGACATCTACCTCCCCCTCATCTCCCTCTCCCTCTCTCGCGATTGAAAAGTGAGAACGCCGGCATCTCCCTCCCCCTCTTTCACTTGAGCCATTTTTCTGTGTTGGATATGTTGACATGTTGGGTTTTCTTCAATTGTTTGGATCTTTGTTAAAGATCTTCATTTCTGATGGTTCGTTTTGGCCCTATTGTTTCCTGTGGATTATTAAGTTTTCTTCAGCCGTTTGAGCCGCGGATTTTCAAGAATTATGCATTTTTTTTATTTTTGGGTTGCCTGAGAATTAACACCCAAGCCATCCTTATGCCTTCTCCATTATTTGGTATATTGTCCATTCAATATTCGTTATGAACTTTCTTAAAAATAGATGTTGACATTAATTTTGGTGAGGTATTTCCTTCTCTCTCCTTAGAGTCTAGGGTCTAGCCTTAGGTTCTCCCTGTTTAACCCTCCTAGAGGACTAGCACTGAAACCCACACCATTTAGAAATTTGAGCCACTTTTTTACTACTTCGAGTCTCGTATAGACGGTTCCGAATTCTCAGTATTTCACTGAGTCGATTAAAACTGACATATGAAACTCAAGTTGAGTTCCTATAAGGATAGGAGCAGCACTAGGAAAACCCTTTGTGACTCGAATACTCACAAACACTACAATTTACACATTCACTACACTGCACGCGATATTAATTTAAATTGGTCTGATTGTCGACAAACTCGTCCAGATGACCCAAGATGACGAAACAAAATGTGCGAGTGCGTCTGGAACGTTGATTTTAGCTAAGAAAGACACTCATATTGATATGGTTCCGCGTGCGAGCAAACGACGATGAGTAAAAAGAATTAATTAAAGGAAGCGGGTTCAGGTTCAAGCTCAGCCCGTATTTAATTCGAGCTGAACACGTCCAATTAAACTAGGTCGAACCAATAACGCGGTTCGTAATTTGAATTTTTAAATCTCAAATTAACCGCTCAAACTCCCTTTAATTGAATTTTATAAAGCATTATGACATTCCAATTGAGACAGAAGCATGCATGGAAACTAATTAGTCTCCCGCCCAATGCCGCGTAGCATTCCTTCGGAATTCCCGGCATACAAGATCCTGCTCTCCACTGAAAAACCCCATTCAGCCTCTCCCTTCCTCGCGCTTGAAACTCGTTGGCCTCCCACTTCCTCGCGACCAAACCTTACTCCCCCTTCCTCGCGACTGAATCCAACTCCCTCTTCTTCTCTCGATCGAAGCCCTAGCCGCTCGCCCTCTGCCTTCAGGTCGGCTCGAC